GGTTTTGCCTTTTGTTCTTGTATATTTTTCTTTATATTAACTCCAAGCTAGGTGAATCTATAGAAACAGTGTGGTAGTTACATAATTTCATGTCAACTTGAAGATTTTTATAAAAGTGTAGGGGTGGTTTTAATGTTAATAAAATGTTTTCAAAATATTAAAAAAAAAATGCCTGCAGACATTACCAAATGATCCCCAGGGTAGAAACTTTCCTCCATCAGGGTGTGTTTATATGTATACCATTTGAGAGTAAGTTGCAAACTTGATGGTCATTACTCCTAAATAAGTGTGTTTTCTAAAAATAAGGGACACATATACCCATCAAAATCAGCAAATTAACATTGATATAATAATATAATGTAATTTACAGAACATAATTAAATTCCAATTGCCCTAATATTCGCCTTCATAGGAAAAATAAGCACCTCTTGTATCTCCCAAGCAAAATGCCAGGGATCTAATCCGCAATCACATTACATATTTAATTGTCACAAAGCCTGTTCTTTCCTTCTGTTTTGAGCAGCATGTCTGTTCTGATCTTTTCTTGGCTTTGACATTTTTGAAGAGCCAGTTATTTTGTAGAATATCCCTCAATTTGTGTTGTCTGATGCTTCCTTATGATTACATTTAGGCTATGCATTTTGACAGGAAACCCATCTAAAGGTGGCATGTTCTTACTGGATTACACCAAGCAGCACACAGTATTGATTTGTGCCATGGATGTTGGTGTTAACTTTGATCCCCTGGCTAAACTAGTATCTGTTGGGTTTCATAACCATTATGTTAATAAAATTTGGCAGGAGGTTTTTTAGGACCGTGTGAATATATCTTCCTTTTCAATTTTGATCCACTGGTATCACTAAGGGCTGAGAACAGGTTCTTCCTGGTTCAGTCATGGCTGACACAGCGAAATTGCAACAGGACCCAGATTTATAAAATGGGGATGTACTAGAATAATTGGACTAGGGAAACTTACAAGGCAGAGTCTGGGATTGGGAGGCATGGAAGAAGAAAGCAAAGTGAGCCCTTCCAGGAGCCTAATGTGAGGACGTGGAATATTGCCAGGACTGTAAGATGGGACTGACTCGATGGCAGTGACTGGTTTTAAAGTTGATGGGGAGCAAGCATGTTATGTTCAAAGCTGCACCACCTGCTCCAGTTTCATGGGGGAACCATTGTTCCCAACTCTTCTTTTTTTTTTTAATTGATCATTTTATTGGGGGGCTCTTAAAGATCTTATAACAGTCCATTATTCAATTGTATTGAGCACCCTTGTACATATCTTGCCATTAATGTTTCCAAAACATTTTCTTTATCCTTGAGCCCTGGGTCCA